CGCACGAGGTCGCGAGTACCCGTATGATCTCGCACGTGCTCGCGGTGGCTATTAATATATGTATTATTAGTAGTATTAATATATGTCAAACGCGATATTTCTAAGTTATGTAGGATTTGGGATTTAACAAATATATCTGCAGCTGATTTTTCATCTGTTAACATTTTAATAATATTAATTTACAGAACATTTTACTTCAGTCGTCTAGCGATGGACGAACTGAGCAGCACTGAATCTTCACTATCTACAACAACAGCGCGGCAGCGCGAACGCGAGAAAATGTTATGAAGTATAGAATATATTTTGTACTAAATAAAGTATTCTTTAAGGGTAAGTATTCATTAAGAGGGCGACGTGTTGATTGGGAGATAAAAAAAAATTAAAAAGATAACGCCCAGTTACAAGAGGCGAAAGTTTTCTCGCGGCTGCCGCATGGCGACCGCCCAGTTATCACGCCTTCATGTACATTAATGGCAAATCTGAATTTTATTTACTAGGCAACAACATTTAAATTTCTCTAAATAATACAACTTCAAGCCAGACTCGTCCGCATGTCCGGGACGCTCATTTAAGTTTAAACGTAAAAGCTAAATAAATAGAGCGCATTTGTCATGACAGTTAGACGTGACTATATATTATAGAGTCCTGAGGCCGCGCAGCACTGCGCTGCGCAGCCAATCGTTGGTAGCTTGTGCCGCGACGGGTAATGCAAAATGTAACTTAGCTTCTCGTCAATAAGGTGTTTCTTTAAAAGGTAGAAAGTTTCCCTACTCTTTTGTTACATTATTTCAATATTATATAGTTAGTAACCATACTATAGTAACTGTCACAGCTTTGGTAACACAAAAGTAATAAACATTTTTTTTTAAACTACTTGCTGTACCCAGCACGAAATGATAATGAAGAAAAAAACTGTTTGTCTTTTATATCTGTTTATTGGAGTGCTTCTAAATGGTTTTAATACTTTACAAAATTTTGTGGGCGTGGGCACTACAACTCACGAAAATTTTATAACAAATATATTAAAAAAAAACTATATATTTGAATTTCTTCTTTGAAACAAAGCGTAAGTCATGATGATCAAAGACATGAGGTAGCTGACATTTTCTTTGCAAAATTTCAAACGAAAATAAATAGAAAAAAAATGCTGTAGACGCTAAACCCAAGCAGCTATATTAATGAATACAAGGAACGAAATATTTACAACGTATTTTTCACTATTAAATGAAATTCATAGTTTTTCTTTATTTCTCTCACAGCCTGCTACCAACTTTAGAAAACTTTTGCTCTCACGTCCTGCACTTCGTTTCCCTTTTTCAAATATTACCCGTAATACAAATAAAAGGCAGGTACGGACTTCTGTAAAGTTAAACACGGGCCGAGCAAATCCGTCAATATTGCACCGATGCATGTACACTGTTGGCAAACTCGCGTCGCTGGCTGCATGTTGATTTACCGGCAGAGATGGAGTTAGTTAGGTTTGAGGGCTATATTAATAAGCACTCCCTTTGGTAGGAGATCTCATTGCATGAAATGACACTATATTTGTTTTTTTCAAACAAACCAACGTTCCGGGCTTTTTACAGATCCAATGGTCATGACTAACTGTTGCTAAAAAAATTGAGAAATAAAAATAAAACGCGGGTTTGGATTTCATATACCTATGGAAAAAGGACTTCTGAGCGGACAGAGGTCCGAAAGCATAATGAAATATTATAAGGGCATCCTTTGCATGGCGAGTTTTCTGAGAAATTGTTTAATCCTATTCTATCCTCCCTTTTCCTACTCAGATGCACGTGTGTTGGCCTTGGGTGTATAAATAATAAATAATAACGCACACACTCAACATAGCCCCGCACTAGTGCGGGGAAGTGGGGGGCGTTTCCCTAGGGAAACCTTGTGTTGCGGGTGCCATGGACACACATATAGACAAACACAAATTACCTCCAAACTCACGAGAGAAATAAATGTAGGTCGTATAAATATTTCTCCCGGCCCGGGAATCGGAACTGGGACTTCTGCGTGGCAGTTCTGTATGGCAACCGTTCTTCCACGGAGGCAGTTAATAGCAGGTAATGGAAGATATAACTAAAAATAATCTATTTTCACTTTGTATAACAACAAAAGGCAAAATATCAATGTGTATAATAAATTTTCAATATAACAAACATTAGATATAACGATTAGGTGACATAATGAACAAATGGTATTAGTGCTACCAGTATAACGCTGCTCGCTCGGCTCATGCAGCTTTGTTATATACTAATCTAACCTAAACTCACAGGAGGAGGTCGAACCAAGTAGCAAATGCAAACAAATTCGGTTCTGGCGGCCGGCCGCTGCCGCGGAACGCTCGCTCGCTGAAATAATTCGTTGTAGATTTTTATTTTTGCCTGTTTTGAGGATTGTACATGCTGTGGCGTAACACGTTAGCACATTCTTTAGACAATATCCTTCGGTGTATCGTATATTTTTTGTAAGACTGTTATTTAATAGTAATACCTAAACCCTTTGAACTAGCAAAATCGGTTTTCCCGCTCCCCCTCTGACGACTCGCCTTAAGCGAAGCGGGGTCATCTGTCTACCATGTATTAAAATAATTGGAAATAATAACACTCTCTCTCTCTCTCTCTATCTCTCTCTCTCTGTGTGTGTGTGTATGCGTGCGTGCGTGCGTGCGCGCGCGCGCGTGTGTGTGTGTGTGTGTGTGTGTGTGTGTGTGTGTGCTTTTTCTCACGATTCCATCCACATTCTTTCTTTAAAACATGTGTCATTATTCAAACTGCGTACTAGTGTTCAAATTAGGATGAATATTTATCAAAATAATTAATGAATGAATATAAAACATATCCATTGGGCGGTTTCCATGATATGATATCTACGAAAAGAATCTACTCTTAATTATATGGAGTATCATGAAATGTCCCTTCCATTTACTAGTTAATTACCCCTTTGCAAATCGAACATGGTCAATATCGGCTCTCATTAAGCAAATGAGAAAATGATTCGAGTCACGCTCATTTGTATAATTGCCTCTCGACTGAAAGAACTGACTTTTGCTTCATTACCCGTGGCAAGAGTGTAATACATAAGTATATAATACATAAGTGTTGGAAAATGTAAATGTATAATATACACTGTACACTCTTGCCACGGGTATGTACATAATAATAACTATTTATTATTATGTACATTTTCCAACACTTATGTATTATACTGATTATATTTACTTTAAAACTAGATATAAGAAAAAAATGTTGTTTACAGCTGATAATACTAATAAATACGTCAAATTCAAAGCACTAGGGAAACTCTGTGTCGCGGATGCCACGAACACACGCACAGACAACCACAAATTACACCCAAACTCACTAGAGACATAAATGTAGGCAGTAAAAATAGAGTCGAACCCGGGACCTCTGCGTGGCTATTTATAATATATAAATAGCTATTTTTTATTCAAGTATTATTATTCTTCTAAACTTAAATTGAGTTTTCGCAAATGTACTGGATTTCAGAGTAACGATGTTATTTTTTTAAACTTCTCTCTCAGCGACACTCTGGGGTCCAGTTTGTAAATTGTCGTTATGGTGCGCATTTGCAGAGCAAAGCTTCTATTAAGAGTCGATACTAGCTCAGCTAGAATTAAAATTTTTCCCGTACTAATACGGTTTATTTTATTGGGTTAAGTGGCAGGGACACAGGCTTTCTTTCAGAATTTATTTTTTTATAAACGAAATTGAAGCTATTTGAAAAATGTATATATATATCACGAATAGGTACTATACATCTTCTATTTAGTTAAGTGGATATAAAAAAATCATTGGTATAAATCGCACTGTTCACACAATATTGTATTAACCATTGACTTACGGACGTCGGGTCCGCGCTAAAAAGTGTCCGAACTTATAGGGCGTTAAAATCGTATACAGAGCGTCATTCACGCTCTAGTCTTCGTTTGTTCGACTGACAGCGAAGCAAGCAAAATTAGACAGTACTGCGATAACATTACAATTTAAATTCAACGTTTTAGCTTTTTCATATTCCTTTACATGTCACTACGTTTAAATAGGTTGACTTGGGACATTTTTTTCGTGGTTTTTGTATTAGACCCGTCGTCCATTTATTTGTAAGTCAATTCTAAAAGTGTATTTTTTCAGAATCGATGAAAAACGAATACTCACTTCACGTGATAGACCATTAAAATTTATACATAGGGTAAAGTTTATTACTGACATCTAAACAATTTTCTACTGGCCCAATTTCTTTTTGAAATAAAAGGGAGGAAATAATTTCATATTTTTGAGCAAGGACTCTATGTTTTGGCCAGAACTAGCTCACATAAAGTTTATCTCATTTTGAGTTAAGTAGATATCTTTTAATTGTTTCTTACAATATTCTGTCAATGGTTTTATTGACGTGTAGAGAATCAAATTTTGGTTTCAGGACACTCATTCACATATTTTAAGTTACAACACTATTGTAATATTAGTGTGATATTGGTAAAGACCATTGGTTTTCCTAAAATTTCGAGGTAAGATTGTGTTTATTTTTTCTATCGAGAAAACTTTTAGGAATCGTGTTATCACATCGTGCACTAATCCGTTTATTTTGTAGAGCTCCTTGTGAAAGAGTTCCTCTAGGGAAGTACTGCCACCTTATCTATTTCTGTCGCCATCAGTAACGTCAGCATTACTGTGTTCCAGTTTTGAAGGGCAAGGGTGCTGGTGAAATTACAGGCACATGGGACTTATCAACTTATGTCTCAGGGTGACGGGCGCAGAAGTAGCGCACCTCAGATCTTTGCAATTTAAGGAGATGAGTAGCAATGCCATTGTTATGGACAGGCGTATAGCTTACCATCAGGCGCACGACTTGTTCGTCCCGTCTCTTAATAGTATAAAAAAAAACAAATTTACTATATATTATAATTATTAATACTGTGGGGGCGGATTATGAGAAAAACGCCTGGTTGTAAATTGAGCTTC